TTGTACTTAGGATCCCAGCAACATGAGGAGCCCAATGCACAAACTGGGCAGCTTCAGGCTGTCTTAGGCTCTGGCAAACATCACAATAGCATTTGATATGACAATGGTGCCCATTATCATATCCATCGGACCGCCGTCCACAAAGTTCGTGATCGTCATCTCAGCTTTTGCCAGGGTTGCCCTCTATCTCTGGGCGCTCGTTTTAGACCATCCACCAACAAAAAAAAGTACTGAGCAACCAACAGACCGCAACTTGTCCCAGCATCCCTGGGCACCTGGTCAAAAAATGGGCAACCGCTCCGGGTCAAATCACACATGTTCACGGTGTTGCATAATACAATCCTGCGCAATGCATCGAATCCAGTTGAAATAAAGTCAAGGCTGATGTGACGTCTGGGATTCCGGACCACCAAAGCTCAGGTCCACCTGCAAAGTCTGAAGCATGCTTCGCTGCGTTACTAGATCATACAGAATCTCACAGGTGTTCTGGTCCAGGAGCTTGCCCTCATTGTGTGCATAAATAGCAAGCACGCACCGTGGGCAGAAAGCGTGCGTGCGAATGTGTTTGCACCGCGTGCGCCGCGTTTGCGACGCCTGCGCCCCTCGCGCCGCCTGCGGCGCTTGCGCCTCCAACTGAGTCTAAGCCGTTTGCTCCACTTGCGTCTGGTGGAGTGCTGTGGGTGCATGCGGTGAGCGACGCGTGCCGCCGTGTATGTAGGGAACGCGCGCGCGATCATTGATGTTGGCATGCCACATGGTAAACATTGATGACATCATACCTGGTGCAAACAGCGGGTGGAGCGGAGCGGGAACGGAAGGCGCTGATCGTCTCACAATGTAAACTGTCGTGTGAGTGTGTGTGCAATCATCATAATATCAATATTACATAAATGCACAGTATGCGCCTTGTACATGTCCACGCAGGGTTCTATGACATTCTACCAGCATAATTAACTCCAGCAACCCCTTGCGCATCATACTCAATCACACTAAACAGTCTCCTAAGCAACCTTTCCTCCCTTGGAAAGGTTGTACAGCACTCCGGCAACTACTTGAGAAAAGTACGACGATCTATATACACAATTGAAATATCTGGAATCCAAAATATTCTTCAGAAGAAACCTAAAATGCCCTCTTCTTGGTGGTGCGGCAAGGCTCATGTCACTACTTGCCTGAGCTGCCGGAGCCATTTTGCAGGTATATGTTCAGCACGTCGCGAAATGCAAATTTCTTCGGGTGCGCAGCCTTGCGCAGTGCTCCGTGGATCTTTTTCAGCTGGCCACTCTTCAAGTGAGTCACATCCTCGGCATTGCTTATCTATTTCTTGTGAGCTTCGTTTCTGCGCATCTATGTTGTTGGAGTCTGAAGCTATGAAGTGGCGCCTGGTCCAATCATGGGAGACACTTGTCAAGACAAGACACTTCTTTCACTTGCTTCACCATCTCCTCGTTTTCTTCTTCTTTCTTTCCCACCTTTTGCCGATATGCCTTAGAAGCAAATGATCTTTGTTCTTGGTGCTTGCTGCTTACCAACATGAAGGATACACACTCCAAGCTTGCTATGCCGCCGAGGCGGGCATCAGTTCTTGAATTGAGCACCCCACCTTGCTTGCCACTTGTATAGATATACAAGATATATCAAGATATACTATATTGCATATGCCCTGCAAATCAGAACACCCCGCGGCCGTTTTGCATTCAGGGCGCCTCTTTCTTGGCTTTCCTGGGAGATCATCCCACGCTAGATTAGAACAGTAAAATGCCCTTAGAAAGATCTTGAGGCTCAACCATGCATACTTGCAATGTACTCTGGTTATTGATGGCAGGCCACTTGAGCTGCTGAAGGTGAGCCTTCTCCAGTTGCTCCTGCAGAAGAACCACCAAGCCATGGACGGCCAGACCCCGCAACCAGAATAAACATCGTTGAATCCCAAGCTTGCAGTAACAGGCAAAGAGGGCTAAAACGCACGCCTCCTGCAAGTCTCGTGTGCCAGTGCTACCATCCACCTTCAGCTGAAGCAGATTTGGCGCATGTTCGAGTCCAACACTTCTCAGGCTCAAGCAACCGGAGTCGTAGTCGCAGTGATACGCGACACAGACGAATGAAATTGGATCGCTTTGGAACTCCTTGGACAATATCAGAACTCCTCGCACACCTCCAAGATGCTAGTGACCAGTGGCAGGGGCTGGTACCCCGCATTAGTAGGTGTCGTCTCCACAGTTGCCGTGCCATTCCTCTCACCACCCACCTGAGACAACTTGCATTGTCATGGAGCTTCTTCATAGGCTATTCAATGCTATTCTCTATTCACTATTCTAAGCATTCTGGCACTTGCCAATGGGCCCACGGGCAAAGAGCCAACACCGAATACCGCACCTGGGCAGGACGAACGGCACACAAACCTCTAGCAAGGTCCCTCCACTTGCGGGACAACGGGCATTCAGATCTGGCCGCTTAACCGTGGCACAAGCGCATCAGAACTACAGAAAAATGTAAAACTGCCTCTATCATGCAAGGCCCCGACCATCAGGCATAGGTCTCCTGAGCAGAGTATCAGGCTACAGAATGACAAAGGATGAAGACATTCCTGGGGCACTACCGACTCAACCAACAAACTGACATTTCTTCAACCATAACAATTTGGACGCCGAGGAGCGACGAATGCTCTTCAATGAGCTCTCGCAAAGCCTGAGCATTCTGTGGGCTTTCGTGGCTGAAAGCAAACCGTCTACGGCCTAGCAAGCCGAGCAAACCGTGATACATACAAACAATTGCATGTATAGCTCTCACAAGGTATATATTTTATCCTTCAATTCATATACTATACCTCTCTATAAAGTGGACTTTTACTTGAATGTATTTGAAGGCTGACAGTGATCCTCCGTGTGCCTTGTGGTGACGATCAAGGGTATTCTGAATCGCCTGGGTCAAATATCATGACAGGGGGCTCCATGCTCGCAGTTCATCTTGTATAAGGACCCTGCCCTCAGGTTTTCCTCCAATTGGTGCTGGACCCACCTCGACAAAACCACAAACCAATTTTGATCTGCAGCCAGTTTACCACTTCTTCAACACGGAGGGTGGCTGTTGAAGACATTGCCAGCCTGCGGTCAGCAAGCACCTGACCAATCAATGTTTTACAAACTTTTCCTGTTGGTTCCTGGTGTAGTTCCTCCTTGTTATCCTTTGTTTCTGTGTTTGCTATTTGCCGGTTGGTTGATCCATACGAATTACAACTGACCGGGCTGCGATCAGCCACATGGAGAGCTGAGAAAGGCGCATTGTCAGCTCTCGTGGGTGAAGCGCAACCACGCCTACAGTAAAGAAAGGGTCGCTGTCAAGTGTTGCTGAGGTCAGTCGATCCAACCCTGCTGACGTCTTCATGTCCACGTTTTCAAGTGCTGTACAGCCAGGATGAATCCTGGAAGGTTTTTCTTATAGAATCAAACTGCACACAAACCCTCAACTTCCATACTAAATAAATATGCAGTATACGAATTCCTGCAAAGAATGGTTTGTGAATCACCTTGGCTCGCTGGTGTGTGTGTGTACTGGACCATGCTCATACATGTAATGGTTCTTGTATGTCTGTGTGTGTACGGCATTGGTGTAACCACGAGACGACGCATCAAACAAGCCCTCGTAACATCCTGCATGGAATTCTCCATCGAAACTAAATCATGAGCAAGGTGTTGCCAGGTCAGAAACCAAGAATGTTTGAATTGGCTGTTTGGGCTTCTGATTCTGCCATTCCGAAAAGGCATTGCTTCCGATGTTGCGAACTGGCTGGGAATGCAAAGAAAACAAACAACCTACATTGCTGCATGGGCTATCCGGCTATGTTCTTGCTTGCTGCGTGAAGCAAAGTTTAGGTGTTCATCGCGCTCAGAGCCCAAAAAGAAGTTACAAGCCATGTCCAGCTGTGAGACAAGTCTTTTCAGGTCCGTTCTGCTTCGCTACCACACTCCCACCCAGTCCCACCCCCCACCTCAGTGCACTGCACATGCTGTAAGTGGCAAGCATCAGCAATGCAATGCCAGTATTACTTTATTTGCATACTTTCGACCGGCTCTCCCTGCGCTCCCTGATTGCTTGGTCATACGGCAAAGGCTAAGTCTAGTTAAAACCTTCTGACCTTGCAGAAGACTGGGGCAACTCACTGAGGCAGTGAACAAAATCGATAAACAAACCTTGACTGCCACTTTCAAAAAAGCATACAAAGATGTCGAAACCAAGTACCGGTGCATACCAGCGCTCAGCGAATACCTGCTGCCTCAGGAGGTGATGTTTAGAAAACACTGGACTCGAATACTCGCTGCTTGGGGTGTTGTACCAAGTTCAACTCGCACAGTACGCTGGAGGATCCTCAACTGAGGTTCAGTTTTGACCGGCTGTAATGGGTGGTATATAAGGGGTTCGCACAGATCTGTCAGTCATAAGAGAAACGTCTGAGGCGAAGGCCACGAGCATTGGATGTGCAAGCTTCTCGCAGAAACATCGACTCCTCGTTAGGCCTTGGAGCATTCTTCTCCGATTGAATCAAACAATAATTATGGTTATATATATCATGATTGTATAACAATATGCAACCTGAAGGACTCATGGCACAAAATCCTAACCCTGTGGCTTTTTTCTTGCTGCTTCTACATGACTGTCAGCTGGCTATTCCTGCTTAGCAGGATCTTGGGGTGAACCCGAGCTGAAGCTGGTGGGTGGACATGAAGCTTTATGTTGCAAATGGCCTTTGTCGCTCGAAGCATGCAAGCAAAACCAATCCCACCTTCAGAAACTTTTGGCATGCTTGAGACAGTGTCCCTAGATTGGACAGCCACATACGCGCGCAGGATCATGGGTGAAGACAGTTGTTTAGACTGGCTCCAGCATGTTCCAGCTGGGGTAACTATATGGAGTGAGTGGTACCTTTGCCAAAGCCAAAGTTCGGGTGGGGACCAAGTTGGAAACGAGTCTTCCGCCATGAACGCGGTTCCGGCGGTTCCATCTCAGTTGATGCCCCAGAGTGAAGAAGCTTGCAGCATCTTCATGGTCTTGAAGTCCTCAGCCGCAACCCTATGGACAAACGTGCACTTCCTTGCAAAAGCTACCAAACGCATTCAGAAGCGAGCAAGCCACCACACTTCCAGCACAATTTCTGACGAAACAGAGGCACCGGCCATGCGGCTGCGTGCACTGGGCCTGCCGAAGGAGTAGACGCTCTGCGTCTTCATATCGGGATTCGGCCTGACATCGAAGGCCCACGACGGCTCTTCTAGTAATTAGCGTCCTTGCTCCTAGTAGTAAGGCCAGGAGCCCCTAGTAGGGTCTCTCTTATGGCGCCGCAGAATCTGGTTTTGAGCTCCGAACTTTTCATGCACCTCATAGGCACCGGGACCTGGCGCCCTTTCGTTCCGGTCTCCTGGAAGACCTTGGAAGAAACATTGCACCAGCTGTGTTTGGAAGGCGTTCCCGAGTTGCCCTACGCTCCGCCCTGCAGAATGAGATTGATCGGCCAGCCAGCCTGGAGTCAGGAACAAGATTGCAAAAGTAACGAACAAGTGCATTAAGGAACTCAACTATTAAGATAATGAAGAGCCAGTGTCTGACCCATTCATTCCGTTATGGCATATCCTGGTGTACGTAGCATGGCATGTGCTTGCCACATCCATCACTTGATATCACTCGCACAGTCACTCGCACTGGCAGGCGCCCATATCATGCGGTTGAGTCGCTGGTATGGCAATGGAGGGCCAGGGCCAGGTGATGACCGACCTTGCCCCTCCTTCTCGGAGCCGGGGAACCTGAAATGCGGCAGGTTCAAACCCTTTCAAGCATGTGAAGACCTATGCCCAAAGGAAAAGTCAATTCCTGAAAAAGCGGCATTGTGCCTGTATTTCATTTCTACAACACACATCCACCAAAACAAGAACATAAAACATACTGACTGACAGAACTGCTGCACATACGGTGCTCCTGTTCAATGCCGACATCCAGGCCTCACTCTGTCATACGCCCTGTGGGATGCTCCGAAGGAGCGGCCATGTTTTCCCGAGCCATCCACTGAGCCCTTCACCTGGCGAGTTCCGAGAACGCCGATCTCGAACCGAGCACTGATCTCGAACCAGGCAGTGAAAATGCGGGTCTCGAATCAAGGTGGAATGGTCAGTTAGATGATGTGTTGCATGCGGGAAGCTCCAGTGAGATGACAGCCAATGATGCAACTCCTGCTTTCACCTGGAACCCAAACAGCGGCTGGATCAATTTGGCAGTTTGGATATGATATAGGTATATAAGTTTCCTTTACAATAGGTCCGGCTCAATTTTCTATATTGTCTCAACATTAGGGCATGTCCTATTTCCTCTACCTATCAAGCCCACAATAATTAGTCGCGCAAGTTATGTTAAGTTAAGCACTATGCGTCTTATACAAGTCGTGGCATTCCTTTGTTGAATAGTTGTTTGAACATCCTGAGACTGCGGGCGGGCTCCATTCATCAAGGGTTCTATTGAGACTACAGAAGATCTCTCCCCATAGTTGTCCAAAAATGTGCCCCCCTTAAGTGGCATGGACGTGGGGGTCCCCGAATTGCATTTGTTGGACGTAGGGGGACCTTGATTGCATATAATATATTCGATGGTACTTTACATCTGTAGGAATATTATTAACATCTGGGTGGCATAAGTGCGCACATGGAAAAAACACCGATCCCCCAACGAACAATCGCCTGGACCCTCCCTCAGTGGACAAACACCGCTATGTTTTACGGCCAACTGTTTTTGATTTACTTCGATTTGTGAATCCCCTCAAGCTAACCCCTTTGCTTTAGCAAAGAGAACTCAAGCCAGTTAAAAGCCACATCCAAGACCACATCCGACATCCTACCAGGTAGGATTCGTGGATGTCAGATTCGGCTCAAAACCTGGGACGATCTTTAAGGTTGTTCTGGCACATCTGCTCCCGGATGGCCACATCCGACATCCTACCAGGTAGGATGTCGGATGTGGCTGCTGAAGTGATGTTTTGTGAGCCCCTTCCGTTCTTGATTTCTGCTTGCAAACATGTCTACAGCATGTGGGCAAATGCTCGAGGCTGTCCGTTCAAGTCGAGAACGACAGTCAGTTTAAGAAATCAGAAAGTCAGAAGACGTGTTCAAGTTTAAGAAATTGATTTAGCTGTCCTGGCATCCAAGTAGACGCTTTTAAAATGCAATTGGAAAATGCCATTTCTTGCGTATCGTCCCTAGGCAATTGCTTTTTTTAAGCGGGTGTACATGTCCAAAGGCTGGCGTCACGGGTGCCCTGGAAATGGCTTACGCAACTTGGCAAATGGCATGAAGTCGATATCGATCGAATGCAGTATAAAGAATATCAAAGAAAGTTTAGGGTGCAAAACTTCTGTGTTACGGACTTTCGTCAGCTCTAGCTCTAGTGACTCTAGTCAGCTCTAGTTCCAGTCAGCTCTCTAGCTCCAGTTAGCTCTAGCTTTAGTTAGCTCTAACTCTAGTTAGAGCTAGCTCTGGTTCGCTCTAGCTTCAATCTGCTCTAGCTCCAGTTAGCTCTAGCTCTGGTGTACGTTCTGTTGATGGAAATCCATTGCGTTTTGCAACTCCTGGATGGTTTCCGCAATGTGAATGTGACTGCAAGGATGAGTTGTCGCTGGAATTTCATTGTGTTTTGGAACTTCAGGATCGTTCTCGCAATGTAATTGGCACTTTCATGTCTGGTTGGATCATGTCTTCCAGGTACATTTTTGAGGAAGTCTCGCAGGCTTGCTTTGTTTTGCAGGTCTTCAACACATGGGTTTTAGTTTTGGAAGGAAGTCTCGTACAAAATGCGTTTTTGAGAGATAGCGGATGCACGAAATGTTGTGTTTTTCCATACAAGGTGTGGCTCCGAACCTGGAAAGTCAAGCTCTGCGGACGGACGGTCTCGCGTCATGCTCGGATCATGCTCGAATCACGAATCGCCCCTCCATTGTAACTATAAAGTTTTCACCTGTTTCTGGTGTACGTTCTGTTGATAGAATTCCATTGCGTTTTGCAACTCCTGGATGGTTTCCGCACTGTAAATGCGACTGCAAGTCTAAGTGTTGCTGGTGGATGTTGTCGCTGGAATTTCATTGTGTTTTGCGTGAGGAAATCTCGCAGGCTTGCTTTGTTTTGCAGGTCTTCAACACATGGGTTTTAGTTTTGGAAGGAAGTCTCGTACAAAATGCGTTTTTGAGAGATAGCGGACGCATGAAATGTTGTGGTGGCTCTGAACCTGGAAAGTCAAGCTCTGCGGAACGACGGTTTCCGGACGGTCTCGCGTCATGCTCGGATCATGCTCGGATCATCCTCGAAGCGTCCCTCCATTGTAACTAGAGCTTTCACCTGTTTCACCGTTCCTTGGCCTTGCCTATAGGGGCATCTTTCTGCGTGCGTCGCTGTGGGCCACGCAGACAGCCGGGAAATGCTCCTATGTGCGTCGTTATGGACCGCATTAACAGCAGATACCGCGCAGGACTCTCTGCACTGTGTGGAAAAAAGGGATGTGGAAAAAAGGGATGGTTCATGGGTTGGAGGGCTGTCGGGTGGCGGCGTGGAGGTCGCAGCATGTTCAGGTCTGCGGAAGGGTCATGGGGAGTCAGAACGATCGTCCTCTTCTCGAGTCCTCCGTCGTCCTTCTACTGAAACACCACCACCATCAACATCATCATCATCATAATTACTCGTAATTGTCATCATCATCATCATCATCATCCTCACCACCGTCCTCGCCATCATCAACATCATCATTACGAGCCGTCATCACCAGTGTCATCATCATTATGATCAGGATAATGGGCACCAGCATTGTCATCATCATGATCATCATCGTCACCAGCATCATGTTCATCACCATCGTTACCAACCTCATCATTACAATCATCATCGCAATCACCAGCATCACCTTGCTCACCATCATGAACATCATGACCATCATCATCATCATCATCATCGTCCCCACCGTCATCACCATGCCCAGAAGCGGCCACGCTGCATGTGACATCCACCCTGGTTAAGGAGGGTGGACGTACAGAAATGTGATATTACATTTGGGAGGTCCTCTTTGATTGTCCTGCCCCCCTTCCACCCATTGGTTTTGAATGCGCACAATGGTGCAAATACCTCGTTCTCATGATTGGATGATCACCGCGCTCAACAATGCTCTGCACTGGCACTGGAAACAAGAAACGCCGGCTGGACTTTCTTCAAACTAGGAAAACCAGATCACGAAAATTCGCTCCAAGTCTCTATCATGAAATAATGACAAATGTTTTCCATATGATCCTTTTTCCATACGATTGGGGGCGCCAAAAAGTATGGACATTGGCAAGGCTCATAGTGGGGGATGCCCTCAATGATCAAGCAATCACATTCCCCATCAGTCTAGATTCTGTAGTACTACGATGGTAAAGGGATGGTGGATTCCTCAACCTGGAGACCGCACAGAGAGATTCCAAACCGCACCCGTTTTCGAGACACGTGTTGACGCCACGCGGCGCCTCTCTGTCAAGTCTCACTGCACGCGGACACTGTGCCAGCCGAACGCTGGGAAACTGGAGATGAGTTGAAAGCGTATTTTGGCTGCACGGCTAACACGGGAAAAATAAATTAAATGAACGCAAACCACTCTCTGATAATCCATCCATCAAAAAACCACTTGGAGGCGCCCCGGTATTGACAGGCACGGACCGGGGCTGAACAACTTTCTGTTGTATCTAAACATTTGCTCATTTGCTCACATAAATCATCGAAAACTATTCATAAGAATGAAGAGATAGGTTTGCGATTGATTGCTACTTGCTTTCCTCGCTCTGCTCATTCAAGCATCCCGCGGATCATGTGACAGGGGTGCGGGAGCGATGATTGGATGACTGTTTGGTCGCAGACTGCAGGGCATGTGCGAAGGGACACTCCGGATGCAGAGCTATAGGTCAAATTGTTCTTATAGGAAACTTCCGCAGCTGGCTTGCCTGGGAACTGCTTGTATATTGTATATTCTGTGTATACTTATCTGTAAATATATATATATATATATGGTTATGAATTATGAATATATATATATATGTATGTATGTGTGTGTAACCTTTAGAGTCACGAGGTTCCTGTTGGATTGTTTGTTTTTGAATTTGCAGGAGGGTTACAGCATTTCACTGGGACTGTGTCCAACGAAGCTACCAGTGAACTGGGATATCCAGCTTGGCCAGCTGGATGCCTACATCAACTTTTAAGTTTCCGTAAAGGGCTAGTACATGCGGCAAACAAGAGCGTACGACGTCATCCTGTCGGTCCCTCGCACCATGGAGTTTGACTTCTGGCCTTTAACTAAAGGCGCTCAGGCCTCCTTACCTAGTTGTTCAGGATTCTGGTCTCTTAGGTTGCCGTGTGGCGAGTGGCATTCGCATCAGTACGCATAATCTTGAGCGTGTGCGTTTTGGCTTTAATCTAATGAATGGGTGCTCTACGGTGCTCCCCTGCCATGCAAACCAACCACTGAGGTTCCTATTATTGCTTCCTTTACGGGTTGCTTATTTGTCCTGTCCTTCTATAGGTCAATTTCTTCCTGAGACTTTGAGCTGGTCCTTTTATGAAAACTCACCTCATCATGCCCAATTTCTTTTGCAAGGGGGGAAGTTCAGCGAGCACCCTGAAGTTGATTTGTATGAATGCCTTAATGAAGGAATGAAGGAATGATATGCTGTTCCTTCCTCGTCCATACGGCTCATCACCCGTCCAGTCATCTTCTCAGAACTACGGGGGGGGAGAATCTGAAAATCTAAATGGAGGCCATCGCTAGTATGTTGGAGGCCTCGCTATTAGGTTCCTATTGCTACTAGGGTTCAGAACCTAAGGATTTGGCACCTTCGATTGAGGCCTCCATCCGCATGAAAACGCTCCGAGTCGCCGAGCCGAAGCGCCGTCGTCCCGAGCGCTTTTCCGCAGTGTCCACCCCGCCTCGTACTGACCGGGGCCTGTGGAGCCCAAGGATTCGGCTAAGCTACGGTCGTCCAAGGCGAAACGGTTGGCCTGCCAATCGGAGCAGAAAGACATGACTAGTAGAAGGTGCATCGCTACTAGCAAAAAGAAGCTACTGGGGGCTCCTGGCCTTACTGCTAATAGCAAGAAGCTACTAGTAACAGGTGCATCGCTACTAGTAACAAGGGCGTCGCTCGCTACTTGTAGCAAGAAGCTACTAACTAGTCCCTGCACCAAGCATTCGTAGGAGGAAACAAATTGCACGCTTTTTGTTGGTGTTCTTTGCCGGAAGCCGTTGCCTTGCTTTGGACTTGGCGATGGGATAAAAAGAACGTCGTTTAAACACAAAAAATGGAAACAATATGCCGTATGCTCTCTCATGCTCTCTCATGAGGCTCATCGATTCAGCCACGCGAGCCTTGGAGAATCTAATGTGCGCTGGAGGGTTGTCAGGTGACCCTCGAACCTCATAGACCTTGCGAGAGTGCCACGGGCTGTGCTAAGGTCCGACCTTTCAAGTTCCTCGGCTCTCCATGACCCGCCAAGCCCTCTGCTGGTCCAGGAGCACGGAAGTGAGTGTCGCATAAGTCTGGCCTGCATTCAGGGGAAATAGGAGTGATCTTTGCAACCCATCAGCAGTGCGAAATAGTGCCAACTCATTCTTTTCACATATACCGTGTTCCACTTCTCAGCATGGGATAATATGATGGAGAAATGGAATCCGTGGGGAGCGTCTCTCGTAGATACCCACCATCTCACGCGGGGCGCCTCTTGGAGGTGCCGAATCTCACGCGGGCTTCGGACTTGACCTCGGTTCGGTTCCACATCGCCAACATCAACGGCCAAAAAAGTCTGAGCGCTGGGCTAGGCGCGGTATGTAGGTACCTCCAAACATGGAAGAGTTTTGTGTATCTGTTGAGTCGCGGTAGGGAAGGTTGAAGGGTCGAAATGCCGGCCTTGCCTGGTGCTGGCGAGTCACGAGCCATCATGGCCATGAGATGGTCCTCGGCTTCTGAAAAAAAAGTAGTATATATGAGTATATATGCTGTCATGGATTCACCGAAAAATCAGGCACCTTGGTGATCATTGTCTTGGACCATGCCTGCTGCAAACCAGAGCAGAAAACTCTTTATACAAACCACCTGAAATATGGTTTAGTTAGTTATATAAATTATGCTAAATACATCATGATTCTTATATAAAGCCAATTGAATCGTCACCATCAACATTTTTTTAACATGAGTTGCATGGCTATGTAGCACATCTGGGTTGAGACATGCTGCCTTGCCGTGCTTGGCGATCAGCGGCGCTGAGGGCTCCGAGAAGTTCTGGGAGAGCTGCTGTCGGCCTAAGCGGTTTACCGTTACCAGTACAGTGGCCATATGCTTGTTCCATATCACAATCCAATATATGGCAATACTGTATACGCCCCGCATGGGGTTTCTTTTCCTTCCAACTGCTCCAAGTTCCCAGCCGAAGCTTTGGCCAATGTCATAGGTTCCGGGACCAGGCTCAAGGTCCTCGAAGAGTCCGTCACTCTGCAAACGTCACTCACACAACTGCTGGCTTCAACATCTTCAAAGGGCATCGCTACTAGGAGCAAAGAAGCTACTAGGGGCTCCTGGCCGTACTACTAGGAGCAAGGACGCTACTAGAGACTCCTGGCCGTACTACTAGGAGCAAGGACGCTACTAGGGGCTCCTGGCCGTACTACTAGGAGCAAGGACGCTACTAGGGACTCCTGGCCGTACTACTCACACAACTTGCGCTCGCTGTCGACGCGCTTCCCGCGACCCTGCACCGTGTTGGTGGGTGTCCGGGAGTGGCAGTATCATCTTGTCGGATAATGACATTGCAAAAAGCTACCACGTGAGACGACTAGCTACGTGAAACCGAATGTCCGCGCTGCTCGTAGGGGTCTCGAGGGTAAATTCCTAATTAGGAGCAGGAATCAGAACAGAGTCAAGATCACCATTTTTGTTCCACACTTTGCGGAGGTTGCGGCGGTATTTAAACTTCTGTTCGAATGTGAGTGATTGTGCAGGGACAATGGGAAAATGCGCGACAGCATGACGCATGGGCACCAGGCCATCAGGATGATAGGGTGGCTTACAATGCAAGTTTTCTGCATAAAGGACAAGTGTCCGTTGAACGGCACCGGAATTAGGAAGTTCCGGGCGGGATGCAAAACCACCGGTATATGATCGTCCCCATCCCACCTGTGTCAGGCTGAGCGACCCTGTTTTGGAGTATTTCGGAACCAAGGGTGTGTCGGTATACCCTTGAAGGTAGATGACGATGGTTCGAAGGGCTTCGGCCTGTTCTCTTAGAGATCGGCGTGTGATAGGAAGGGCTAGCACAGCCGGATCTTGCCAATGAAATGGTTGTGCCCTAGGCTGGCCGGCTTTTCTAATCCACGTGCGAAATTGCAGACCGGTATTGACAATGAATGCCTGTGACTCCCACCTCGTCGGAGAGGGGAGCATCTGGATTTGGCCACTTAAGACTAGCACAAAATCGCAAAACCAGATCAGCATATTGATTACCCCAGACGCATGCTGTGACGAAAGCTGGATGTACCGTTGGGGTCAAGCAGACTGGTTCAGAGAGAATCGCGTACACTTCACGTTTGCGAAACATGGTACCCCAATCTGCTGTAGAGTCATGATGAGTAGAATTGGAGATCTTTGGACTCTGAGCTTGCTTAAGGTTAGCATGAGCTTGATTCAGTGCGGCAAGATACTGCAAGATAGCTTTAGTTTGGACAAACTGATCATGGATCAGTGAATCGACAACGGCATGATCGGTTTTACGTGCTTGAACCGCTGCATGATCTGCCCGTGAATTTCCCATAACATCATCTCTTGCAGGGCCCGGGGGCACTTCATGGATGTTCTGATGTGAACGAACTTTGCGAAGAACGAATTTGGACGGAGACCACGACTGGGCAATAATTTGAAGCAGGTCTGCGTTGGCTAGGCGATGCCACGAAGGGTAACTAGTCGGTCGGGCGATCTGATTAATGGTGTTAACAACATATTGCGAATCTGTCGTAATAACGATTTGTTGGGGCCAATGATGTTGAGTGGCTTGCTGAATTATCCAAGTGACTGCTGCAAGTTCTGCCCGGGCGATGGATTGTGGTCCCTGCACATGTTGAATCTTGATGGTAAGGAATGGAACCGAGAGTGAGTCCGGTCGGAACTGAATGATCGACCATGCAGCCCTGCGAGTTTCTGGGTGTAATGGTGCATCTGCCGATCCATCTGTGTAAAAATATTGGACATCTGCTTCTTGGAGGATACGGGTATGTCCTGTGTCCTGACCCCGTGCCATAAGAAATTGTCGCAACTCTGTCATGTAGGGGAATGCTCCTGGCAGAGGCAGCCAAATCTTCTGGGGGTTATTATTTAAGTAAGCTACCGCCCGTGGATGTTGATTACGAATCTCTTGAAAGGCTGGACATTCAAGTTGCTGATGTGTATGGGTATCGATCTGAGTGCAGTAAGGGCATCGTGCGTCGGTAGTGGCAGACCATAAGGCTTTTACAGCCCCAACCTGGTACCCTCCAGTAAGGTTGTAAGCGATTAATCGGATAGAGGTTGTAGGTAGAGTACGCAAAGCACGGGACAGAATCACGAAATCAAAGGGATGGTCCTGGACTCCTTTGTGGTGACAAATATTACGATTGATCTGATAGGCCCAAGCTAAGCGCAACTGTTGTCGGATGTACTTAAGAGCATCGCACCGAATGGAAACAGACAGGTGCCCATCAAGGGTAAGACGACCATCCGGGGCCAAAGACCAGCCAACCTGATTAAGATAGTTGGCTGGGCCAATTGCAGGGCCGTCATGCTGAAGTACCGCTTGTAGAAAACGATTGGCTAAATCTGGATTGACATGGAACATACGCAAGAATGCCAGGGCATTAGTTATGACGTAAAGTAGAGGATCTTGCAATTGAGTACTGAACAAATGAACTGCTAGCCAACTGGAGATCTGTGCCTCAGGCCCAATTAATGCCATGGTCGCTTCCCGACGGAGTGTTCTGAAATGCTCGTCGCCAACAATTTGGGTTTCGGCTCCAAAGAAGGCATGTGGCCAGATGGCCGTTTGGATGATCCGAGCTTTGTGGGCAATGTCCAATTGAAACCATCGAATGCGTTTGCATCGTTGGACTGCGCTAGCAATTTTAGTTTTAAGATGTCCCAAGGTGATGTGGTGCGTGTAGTGGGTCATACAACCGAGGTCTTTGGTAGAGTTGAGAATTTTAACTGGAGTATCATTAGGGAACTCCTGGTGTAGGAATGTCTGCCAGTCTTGCCGTGCATCCAGGGTAGCCCCCCCAGGCCCAAGATTTAGTGAAGTCAATCTGCATGCGAAGAGCCTCCACAAGTTGTTTAATTTTCTGGAATGTAAGGATATTGTCACGTTGGTTCGTTGTCAGGTAGGACCAGTTATCTGCATAAGCGTACGGGAAGACGGTCGGGGTCTGAAGCGTCCAGTAAAAGGTGGAAGAAACCACTAGCATGGCACATACGGACATACTATCTCCCTCTGGTACACCAGTAGTCATATGAATTGCTGGCCCAATTGCATTGCGAACTTGAAGTCTACGCGTCATCTTGCGAAGGTTCTGAAACCAGAATGTCACGGATTGAGGGGGTGCGCCGTGATGGACGAGGAGATGGTAAATGACACGACGAGGCAGTAAAATTAAAAGCTCTAATCAGGTCGAGTGTGAAGCCTCTCCACGGAAGGAAGCGGTTCTTGGCGGACTCGATTTGGAATTGTTGCATGAACGTAATGTCTTGGACTCCCCTAAAAGGCAAACCTCCTGAAATGGCACTTGGCCATGTAAGGGCCCATTGACTTAGTAACTGATCGGCAACAAGCTTAGATGTGAGACGACTTAAGTAGCCAAGAATAGTGATTGGGCGTCCGTCAGTAATGGCAGTAGGGGGCTGCCGTTTTGCCAGCAAAACAACTCGAGCAATTAAATGATGTGCGGACAACCCTTGGGGCCAAATGATGGTCAAAATGCTAGCAAGATCTTCAATGGCTTCATATGGGAGCGATTGTAACTCTTCGGCCCTCCAGCCATCGATACCGACAGCTTTAAATGGTTTGAGGCGTTGGATTGTCTGTCGCAGGATTTGCGGGTTATCCCAGTGAACTTGCAAAGGTGTACTCGGTGGGATTCGATTACAGAGAGATGTGATGGTCTGTTCCCACGGGTGGTCGGAGCATTCCTCGTGTGAGGTGTCACGATTCCAGAATTGGGACCAGTATTTTTCGAATGGGGCTGCCATTTGATTGACTTCAAAAGCAAAGACTCTTGGATGAGATCCCCGTGTGTGGGGAGGTGACCATGTAGGATGTGACAGATGATACGAGAATCATGTTGTTGCATAATCCGAACCTGGGCACTACCAAATGTTGCCGCCGCATATAAGCGGAAAGTCACTGGTTGATGAATTGTCAGGGAAACCGGGCCCTTGTTCGATCGACATAGTGTGGCTTGTGCGGTAATCCGTACAGGAAACCCTGGCAGCACTTTGGCATCATGGTCTTTAAGTCGTTTATAGAACTGTGAACTGGATTTGTGTTGTATATCGAGATTCACTGCGTGTTGACGAGACTGCCGCCTTAGTTTGGCTTCATGCTGGCAGTACAGGTCGGCATCATACTGGGTAATTTGACGAAAGCAGTAAATCTGATCATAACTTGGAAGGTCCTGCGGGACTGCCGAAATAGATTCAAACTGGAGGAGCCAATGTGCCCATGATCGTCCGTACCCATTGGCTGAATATATGACTTTCCACAAATGTTGCACTTCAAGAACTTGTGGTACGTGGTCTGTCTGCGGGACTGAAGAGTGCACAAGATCATATTTCTTAAAAAGACGCTCAAGAGAACGAAGGCGACGAACCTGTCTGATCTTTTGTCGGCTCTTAAGAGATGTGACTTCGGCAGGCGGCTCGTATTGGCCAGTAACATCTCTCTTTGGGGTGCGTACATGACTGTTCCGGATGAGTTTTGGTTGGGCACAACGGCCGCGAAAAGTCTGTGGCAAGAATCCCTGCG